TTCGCCCTCGGGCAGGAGGAAGACCCGCAGCTTTGCAGAGCCCCGTAGACCAACGCTGTCCTATCCCACGCAAAGGTCTCACCCGGGGCTCCACAGCCCCCGTGGGCTCTGTTTGGTTTCTGCCTGGTTCAAAACCCACTGGTGAGCCAGCACCAGCAAAATTGGCTTGACTGAGCCCGTACCCTTCCCAGAGCTCTGAAGCACGTGAGTTGATTATAAAATCTTCAAGCAAACCGTTGGGGAGTGAAAGATGGATTTGCAGGCATTAAAGCCCCGGACCAAGGAGCAAACAGACACCTTTGATTGAGCAATCAGTGCCTGGGTTTTACAGCATTTCACACTAAGCAGCAGCAGAGCAGAGCCCTGCGTGCACCTCATCCCTCCCGGGCAGGGGAGGAGAAACCAGCAAAACACTGAGAAGCGAGATGCTCAGATGCCTCCTATGGCCTTACCAACACCAGAACAGGCTTTGGGGACCTTCAGTCATACATGGGACACACATGTTTTCAAAAGAGATCCTTCAGATGATAAACTACTAGGAAAACCGTCCATTCCATACCTCTTTCAGAGAGGGCTTCACCTCACTGCTCTCCCGCCTCTGCCCTGGGTACAGCTCAGACACAACAAGCGATCTCTGGGCTGGTGATGTCCAGGCTGGGGAGAACAGCACCAAGGGGTGCCACACCACGGAGCCTGATGTGTCCCATCGCATCCAAAGGGGCTGCGAGGGACGCACGTCTCTTCCTGCCCATGGTGATGAGGGTGCTGACCCGCTGGCTCTCGGACACGCGGGGGCCAACCAGAGCAGGGTTGCATATCTGGAGGTTTATTCCCAGAACGCATGTTGCTCGAGGCCAAGGGTTGGTCTCCACTCGCCGAGACCCTCACAGGGCTCAGCCATCTCTCCCAGCCCACCTCACAAGGTGATCCCCACCCAGGGCAGCACAGGAGCTGCTGCTGTGCTGCCGAGCAGCCCTGGGTGCAAAAAGGTTGGGCTAGAAAACAAAAAAGGGAGAAAAAAAACATCCAGAGACTGGGATTGCTGGAGATGGCAGAGGGAAGGAGCAAGTCACGAAGGGAAGGGGAGGAACAAGCCCAGCACCCACCAGGGGTGTTACGAGCAAGAGAGACATGCTGACAAATTAAAACAGACCGTGAGAACCCCTGATATTTTTAAAAGCCCTTTCTCTCTCGCAGCTTTCTTCCTTCTCCTTTGTATGTTGAAAATCCATCTTCAAAAGCAATTGCAATGCCCCCAGAGGGAAAAATACCCCAGCAGAAGGCAGACTTCCCTTTAGGCAATGTGAATCTGTATTACCCAAGCAAAAAGGCTTTCATCTCAAAACCGTTCACTTCCAGAGCACTTGACCCAAAAGGAAGTCTCCTTTATTTCTACAAAAGTCACTTTCTCTACCAAAGTCCCACGGCTTCAGACGGGAGCCGTTCGGCAGCTTTCTGCGCCCACTGTTGCCTGCTCAGAGCCCTTCTCGTGACCGCGCGGGCTCTGCCTGGAGACGGTGGCAAAGGGTGGGGGGCCTTTCTCCAACAGCTTCCATCCTTCAGCAAGAGCCAACGCAGCCATCGGCATCTGACTTGTTTCTCAACAGATGCTCTAAGCTGAAAGCAAGCTCCCTCCCCCAGAAGGAAGCCACAGAGCAGGCTGTATCTGTGGTGATTTTGGACAGCTCGGCAATGCCACCAGACACGCTGGATAGAAATCCACTCGCGCAAGCGGCGGAGCCAAGGCCTGGGGAGACTGCTGCTGCCCAGGGAGCTGTCACCGCTTCGCGAGAAGCCAGCTGTGATCCGCACCTCCAGGAGCTCACAGGCCACGGGGATGGCCTCTTGGGGCACTCCCGCCTGAAATGGAGGGGAAAAGCGGTCCTAGCAACCGAGCAGGAGGAAGGAGAAAGGCTGCTTGTCAGAGATTGCTGGCCTGGGCGAGACGAGAGCTCCTGGCTCCCACAACCCTCTGAGCTCCGGCGAAGATGCTACCACTGACAAGTGTCTCTAAACCAAAGCTCCCAGCCCAGCTGAGCCCTGCTCAGATGCCACTGCCCCGTGGGTGACAGGACACGGGGCACCACGTGCTGGAAACGTGCACCCCTACTCTATCCTAAAATGCACGGAGGACCGGATGACCTTGCTCCCATGGGACGCAGCTCAGCACAGCAAGCCTGTGCTCAGTAAAGTTGTGGTCCATCAAAGTCACCGCTTCAACGTTGAGTTTTTGCAATACTTGATGTGCGACCTCATGGCCCAGCCTCGGGTCAGGGAAAGGACAACGGGGTCCTTGGCTTGCAAAATTATAGCAAATTTCTACCTCTCCCAGCTGGGGAGAAGAACTTGAACCCCAGCCCCCAAAGTGCTGAGAAAGCCCAGCTACTCCCAAGGCTGGCTGCACAAGAGCTCTGATAATCCCATGGTTTTTAGGCAGCCCTTGGGTTTGCTTCGAGCGCCTGTTGAGAACCCCGCGAGCAGCTCCTGAACATCGGCTCTGCTCGCTCCTACAGTGCGGCACAGCTAGCACACACGTGGAGGACTCCCTGGCTTACTCGCTGGGCTCGGCCAGCCCAGAGGGAGCAGATTTATCAGGCAGGACCGGCAATAAAGATAACAGCATCGGTGATAATTCCTTACGCTGAGTTGCTCACCGTGCACTGGCAGGTGACATCCAGCGCAAGATACCTACAAAGCTTTACAGAATAAATACAACCTGCTTCAATTTATACAAACAAACTCTGCAGAACCATTAAAAACCAACAGCACGGCACTGACAGGGAGGAAACAGCCAGGATATCCGAATGGGCTTTCCAGCGAGGACGCAGTCTGCTGGAGGCACCACGTACAGAGCAGCGACGGCAGCGCACGCCGCCTCGCACATCAGCAGGGCATCGTCCCGTGGGTGCAGCAGCTCCGGCATCATGCGGCGAAACAAACTCTGCAGAACCATTAAAAACCAACAGCACGGCACTGACAGGGAGGAAACAGCCAGGATATCCGAATGGGCTTTCCAGCGAGGACGCAGTCTGCTGGAGGCACCACGTACAGAGCAGCGACGGCAGCGCACGCCGCCTCGCACATCAGCAGGGCATCGTCCCGTGGGTGCAGCAGCTCCGGCATCATGCGGCGATACCGCTGCCTGCGTGGGCTCAGCATCCCGCCGGCACAGCCCCAGCCCCATTGCAGGACGAGTCACTGACTCCAGCCCCGTTTCGCCCCGGGGCA